ACACACACACACACACACACACACACACACACACACACACACACACACACACACACACACACACACACACACACACACGCACACATACACACATACACACATCACGTTCCTACATTCCGTGATATGTCATTACCAAACGGTGTTACATTGAATAATATCAAATTAACAACGAATTGTCGTCATTATGTAGATCCGTGATGATTATATAACTTGCATTGAACTGGTCGAGTTGCTCTTTTGGTCCAATGCCTGACAAGAGAGACTGGGAGAGAGAGAGAGAGAGAGAGAGAGAGAGAGAGAGAGAGAGAGAGAGAGAGAGAGAGAGAGAGAGAGAGAGAGAGAGAGAGAGAGAGAGAGAGAGAGAGAGAGAGAGAGAGAGAGAGAGAGAGAGAGAGANATCTATCTATAAATCTATCTATCTATCTATCTATCTATCTATCTATCTATCTATCTATCTATCTATCTATCTATCTATCTATCTATTTACCTATCTATCTATCTATTTACCTATCTATCTATCTATCTATCTATCTATCTATTTATCCATTTATCTATCTATCTATCTATCTATCTATCTATCTATTTATCCATTTATCTATCTATCTATCTATCGATCTATCTATCTATCTATCTATCTTTCATTCTTACCACCTACCGATCCATTCAATGGTTAAAAATGATGAGAAACCAAAATGGTATTGGTTACTACCGTGGGCCATCAAATTCTCGGATCTCAACCAGTCTAACACAGATGTGGGGTTGTACTCACCAATAATATAATCGTAGACATCGTCAGGATCCTCTACGCTGTATGTGACGTCCCGGCCGCTTCTCGTGTACAGCACTGCTGCAACCAGCACAACGAGGGGAAGCAGCACCTTGTCAAACATGGTAGTGAGCGTTACACATGAGAAACGCACCGAAAAGCTCTTCCTTACAGCCTCTAGCAAGAATGGGTCAATACGCGGGTAGAGCTGGTTATAAAGACCCCTTAAATAATGCAAAGTCACAACAGAAAAGCCTGTAAAGACGGTTTGTCAGCATGACTATGCAAGTTAACCGAGTAATTGTTATAAAGAATTTTATTTACGCCCACTATATTAAACAGAACGTAGGCGTTCTGGCTGATGTGTTTCCGAGATTAATTATTTGATCCTTGCTTGTATAGCTAATGACAGCTAGCGTGACAAGTCAAATTCATTTATTTGTCATTCACGGTAGTTGATAGCTATGTTTCCTTTACGCGATTAATAATATTTGAGTTCATCCCATCTAGTCGGCAGGGTTGACATGCAAATATTAGCTCATGCACATCACATGATTTATAGCATTTACTATTGCATCTATCTCACTTGTATGCTTGTAATGCTTGTAATCGCTGTCGCTAAGTGCTGATAGCTCGTAATGCTTGTGCAGATCGAATGCATCGCTGAGACCAGACATGCACCAGCAGACTACCAAATTGTTCATAACTACGGTGGTCGCACTTATATCGCGTTCAAATACTACTCGTTATCAAAGGAATTCATTTCTTAACATCAGTACACACACACACACACACACACACACACACACACACACACACAC